AATCATAATATTTGTTCTTATAAAAACACTAAAATTGACAATTGTGATAGCACTGGTTATTCTTTCACCTTTCATTTATTTATCACAATCTAATTTTTTTAGTTTACATCATTGAACAAGTAAGAAAATTAAAGAAAATATATATAATAATTCGTGAACCTTAGAAATAATTTGACCTTTTTTTAATGATTAATTTTTTATAAGTAGTTAAAAAATTCATTTTAAATTTAATTCAATAGTACAAAATCAACTTATAAAATAAGATTTGCATCAAATTATATATTTTAAACCAGTCTTATCACTAGTTAATATAAAATTTTCAACACATTTTTATTTCTCGCTTATATATATCAAGTGTAAGACTAGACATTAATAAGTAGTTCAGTGACAGTTGAAACAATATGTTAAACAAAAAAACAAGTTTTTCAGTAAAAGACAATACAATAGGTCGAGTAAATGACAAATTTAATTATAATAAATTTTAACTTATGATTATCATACTATATTAAAAAGTAGATTTTAAATCTAACTTATTTCTACAAAATTAGTTTATAAAATAAAGTTTGTATATCTATTTATATACTTTAAATTATTGTTAATTTTTACTTAACGTGAAAGTTTCTAACACAAGTGATTTTACGTAGGTAAAAGTAGTTTCTATACATGATACTTCCACTTTTCACCTATATATGTAGATGCACCTACTCTTCCATAAACTCCTAAGCTTTGCATGCTCTGTTATTATCTGAAACTTTAAAGAAAACAAGAAGAAGCCAAATGCTCTGTTTTGCACCACATTTTCCCCTGCACTTGCCAACTAATCCCTCGTCAGTACTGATTGATATAGTTTTCAACTTAAAAGCTACAACTACTACGAGGTCACGATTCAGTGCACGTTGATTCAAAAGTTTTAGTTATGGTGCATAAAATTGTAGTTCATGTTATCAATCTGTCAACAACATAGAAAATTCTGGCTAGCTTCCATTATAGTTCATATACATCACGGAAACAATATATAATACGGAAAATGGAATCCTAAAATTTGTTAATCTGTCACTCTTGTTTAGACATCGTGCAAGTGTCACACTATTACTATGTAAGTGTGTTCGAAAACATGTTACAATAAATAAATGTAAATCTCTCATGAAATTAATAGTTACTTTTGCATTGAGTTGGAGAAGCTCTAATCTTAATGTTCAAGAATTACACACATAAGTTTTGAAGAACTCAATCAAGGACATTTTTGGATGATTGACCTAAAGCCTACAAGGGTATAACAAAACATCAGCAATAAACTACGAATTTAGTTAGCAAAATCAAAATTTACTTTGAAAGGAATTTCAACAGAAATTTGTATAAGAAGTGCAATGTTAACGCGTTATATTGGCGAAATAGACAACCTAGGCTTTTTCCACCTAGATATTTTGACTTTTGATGACCTCTAATTTCTGTAAGATCCCAATACAGAAGAAGTCAGTGTAAAACAGTTTGGGTACGTGGAAGGCAGCTATATTTAAAAGAAAAGGAAAAAGAAAAAGAAATAGTTTTGGTCTCGTATTGTGCAAAGGCAAGTGCCAAAATTTCCAAAAGGTGACCTAACGCACTAAACAAAAGGCAAAGAATGAAATACTCTAAGCCTTAATTTGGGGACACAATGTTAGGGTATGAACCAGCAGTGAATTTTCAACCATCAAAAGAAGGAAGAATCTCTTCCTGCGGTTCACGAACTCGACGAGTACTATGTATGAACACTTCAACGTGCAGCCACGTAAAAATCAAACGTAAATCCTTGTTTGGTAAGGTTACTTTAGATGGAGAAGAACCAAGTAACAAAAGTAAGTGATTATGTTATGATTCTCAAAACCAGTTGAATGATAACTTGATTGGAAAAGGTAGTTAGTTGTACGGAACAAACAGTAATTGCGCGATCTTTCACACTCAACTAACTGTTATAATACAATGTGTGAAATTATTTCTCTTAGTCACATTATTAGTTTTTAATTTTTCTTTCAAGAATTATGAAAAGTAATTTTGGAAAAAAATATAAAAAATGAAATCCCGATGAAACGGCATGGTCTTACCTGTTGCCTTGGACAACGGGCACTCAGCGGTGGGAAGTGGCTCTGCTCAGTCATTCCGGAAACTTGCCTCTTTGACTTACCTGACGTGTCCTGATCCTCTTTCTTATGTTAATTCAAACTTTTTTTAAAAAAGTAATAACAAATAAAAAATAGGAGTGAGGAAAAAGGTTAGAGAGAGAGAATGAGTGTGTGAAATAGAGATTTTATATCATTTTCGGCGGAGGCCGTTGATTGCGGTTGGGAATAAAGCGCTCTGACATTGGGCCAACGCTCTTTTTTTGTTCTGTTTTGACCACAACACTTTCTTTCTCCATTTCTTTTTTAAATCAAATTACTACTACCAACTTCGGTTAACTTCTTCGGATTTCAAAAGAATTTCAAATATCAAAGTATGCATTTATCAAGAAAAGCAATCTCAGTAGTGCCTACCGATTCACCTCATCTTATGTTATAACGATAAAGTAAGTTTAAAGTAAATTATCCTTTTAAACTCAATTTGATTTGACAGAAAATCCATTTTGTAGATATTTATGTAACTTGAAAATTCTTAAAACAAACAAACCCACCTATAATTTGGAACATCTGACACAGCTGCCCATTAAATCTGTTTAAATCCCAGTTCTCTGTTTCTTCATCGTTGTAAATTATTCGTAATATTGGATGAGAGTTTTATAAATAAAATATTCCATACATTTTACCGAATATAGTAACAGAAAAAAGGAGATGATGTTACTCGTGTGGAACATAATTATCGTTGTTTTTTAGGCTGTGTTAACTTGGGATACTGTCGGTGGGAAGTTCAGATACGAAAAATAAATGGCCATAAGTGTGGATTGTCGGGTTGTCGGGCATCCGAATCCGGGGTACAGGGCTCCTCTGCCACGAGAAACCGTATGAACAACCGATGAAGCTTCTTCATCGTTGCGTTGCTTCTCAATAATTTCCTTTTCACAGTTGGTTTCGGTTGTACTGCTTCAACTTTTGTTGTTAGTTGCTATGCTATGCAAGTACCTATTCCATGTGACTCAACTCTCGCATTAACTCTACGTCTCACTCTCTTTCTCCACACACATTGTCATATTTCGATTCTCAATGCACCCACGTTTTTTTTTCAAAATGTAATATGAGATTATTGAAATTAATTATCTATGATGCTCCTCTCTCAAACCATGCACAAACAATTTGTTTTTTTTTTCTTTTCTTTGGGAGTTTATGTAATATATTAGTGAGGGAAGAAACAATTAAGAAAATGAGTAATGAATAATTAAATGGTACTACGACACGTAAATTACGGAAGTGTTGTTTTTCCACGCATGGAAGAAGGAACAATCAAATGGAAAAGAACATGGGGTTTCCATTGAAACCAAACTTAATAACGCTGGGAAATGGAAATCATTACCAGTCAAACATTGTTGAAACTTTTGCAGTAACTAAACCAATGCCCACCCACCACGTAACTCTTGGCTCATGTGCTCTTTCTGTGACCATTCACCATAACATAACTTATTCACATATGTTACCATTAAAGTATTTGAGAAGGATTTGGAAAATTTGACTACTAAATTATATGCAAAATTTTATGTACAAAACAAATCTTCACGAGGACAAGTGTACTCTAAACCTTTATTTCTAGTTGAACTTACTATACGGTTTATAAAGGAATGCGCCTATTGAAGATTTTATTTATGACAGGGTTAAGAATAGTTTCATGGCAGATTTCCGTGGTAAACTTACACGTGTTGACATGGTTTAATATAAGTGGTTGTATTTTGTACCAACACATGTTTGGTTGGTCGGATTCAAAAATGTCTCGATTGCTAGGTTATATTGGCAAGTATTATTATTGTGTACTATGATTCATGGTGTGAACATGTGATATGACTTTGAATTAGGCTTCCTCTAATCACTCTAAATTTTTCGCCATAAAACATTTCTTTTGACTGTTTCATTGTTGCTTGCCAGCGTTCTAATCGCACAACATTTTCTATAAATGTTTAAATAATTTGACTAGAAAGTTGTCTTAAATTAGAAAAACTCTATAAGAAAAAAAATGCCAGAGTCACAATTAATCACACACCATTATAGCCCAATCTAACAATCTCCCTCAGTAAGTCAAACCATGATGTCTTTTGTGAAGTTACATTCGTTAGCATGTTTTCTTATATTATAAAGGTTGTATTTTCTACCTAGAAACAAAATAAAGAATTACTACTAATTTTTTTTGGAGGTTGAAAATGCGGTGTCAACTGCTTCGTTAAAAGCAAGTATTATTGTGTGTACTTTGATGCCTGTGTGGGTGTGAATATGCGATGTGACTTTGAATATGGCCACCTTCCTTCAATCACTCTAATATTTTCCCATAAAACACTTTCTTTTAATTAAAATGTTTAATTGTAATCAATACTTTAATAGCAGTTGTTTTTCAAAATTTTACCCAACTTTTTATTTTTAAAACATTATATTATATTTTTTTCATATGTATAATTTAGGTAGAAATGTTCTTAAAATTTGTAAAGCATGTAACATATTCTTTTAGTGTATAAAACGACATTAGAACTTTTATCTTTCACACAAACAGAGTCACTGATAACGAGGAATAACTGATACCAGGTCACATTTAACACGTACCCATTCTCACTTGTAAATGAAATGGTTTTTTTATTTTTTGTCCATATTTTATGGCAGTAATTTCATTTGAAGCAGATACTTTTAAACCTCACCGACCTCCATCCTGTGAGGCCACATGCCATTGTCCCATTCTCATTTCTCATCACATCAAGGAGCTTCTGCATTGCAATTTGCAGCCACTTTAAAATCCAAAAAACAGAATAAAAATAATACCTTTATACCAAATAGTAACTAAATTACATCTTTTTTTTTATTGAATCACTGTCAATTTCTGGGTTCTTGATACCTTCCTTTTTCCTCTCCTCCATAATATATAGCCCCTGCACCTCCCCACTTTTCAATCCCCCAACTCCCTCTCCCTCTCTCTACTTGAAACTTCTTTCTTTTCCCAAGGATTCCCTCCTAACTTGGTGGGATTATCCGAAGTTTCAGCTGCTTCCACTCACCCACATTGTCATTTCCTTTTCACTCCCATATGGAGAAGCTTATCTGCATGTTCTTTTTCCTTCTTCTTCTGGCCCCTCCTTTTACTTCTGCTGGCCATGACTATGGTCAAGCTCTCAGCAAGAGCCTTCTCTTCTTTGAAGCTCAGAGATCTGGCTACCTTCCCCACAACCAGAGAGTCTCCTGGAGGAGCATTCTGGTTTGCAAGATGGCAAAGCTAGTGGGGTAATTTCAAAGCATACAAAACTCAATCAGTTTTATCTTGGTTTTCAGTTTTTCTTTGGAAAGTTCTGGTTTTTATTGTTTCTGCAACTGTTGCGGTGAAATTGCAGGTGGATCTAGTTGGAGGGTACTACGATGCAGGGGACAATGTGAAGTTCGGATTACCCATGGCGTTCACCGTTACGATGATGTCGTGGAGCATAATTGAATACGGCAAACAAATGGCTGCAAGCGGTGAGCTTGGCCACGCCATGGAAGCAGTTAAGTGGGGTACGGACTACTTCATCAAAGCACACCCTCAGCCAATGTTCTCTATGGAGAGGTATTATTTTTTATTAATTTAATCAATAAGGTTATTTTTTTTTTTATTTTTAAAGTTCTTTATAGAGTTGAATTTTAATGTTACATCAAGGAATAATTGATTTACCATGACATCTTTTTCATGAGATTATAATTAAAAAAATGTTGGTGTTATGGCTTTTTGACGATTAGGTGGGAGACGGAAACACTGACCATTACTGCTGGCAAAGGCCAGAGGACATGACAACGGACCGTCACGCTTACAAGATCGATCCAAGCAATCCCGGGTCGGATCTCGCCGGAGAAACCGCTGCCGCTATGGCTGCTGCATCCATTGTTTTCCGACGCTCTAACCCTGCTTATTCTCGGGAACTTCTAACTCACGCCTATCAGGTAAACACTCGATCAACTAAATTTTAATTCATTTATTTTTATTTAGTTATTGCATTGAAGTGTAGAGGCAGCGAAAGGGGTGAAACGTGGTGCGCATGAGTTGTTGTTGAGAACAGCACTGTCAGTGAAGTGAAGCGGTTGGAGTTAATAGGCAGTTACACTTTTATGAGTCTTTTGTCAGAGTCGTTATTGCGACCAAGTTGGGCCGCGTAGGTTACGGTTGCATTTGCACCAAAAAGTTACTAACATTAAATCACAACATTGTCCCTTTATTTTTCTAATAACTCTACATAGTAACTAAATCAACTAAAGCATGGTATATCAAAAATATTTTTTCTTTTGAATTATTTTATTTTATGACTTTCTGTACCGACACTAGTTATTTTTTGTTTGACGAAAATATAATATTGTTTTAATCTCACATAAAAAATATATTTATTTTGTTGGAATGCATTACGTAATTCTGTGTTTAGAAAAAAAGCAATGGAATGAATATAGTATCTAGAATTGTGTCCCATGAAAGATGCTTTTTGTACACTTGTTAATTTTTTTCCCCACCCCTTTTTCTTTGGTTACCCTTAATGAGCAAATATGTTCACTGCAATTTCTTTTTTCTTATAATAATTAAAGAAGTGTGAACGGAATATTTTAGGAGAAAAGTAAAATTTGTTTACAGACGAGTTCACCTACCGATCCTTTCAATGCATTCTCATTTTATAGATAATATTTTTATTTTATTTGTTTTTTTTTTACTGTATTGAGAATTAATACTAAAGATTGTGGTCCAAAAATAAATTTGGTTGTAATGTTTAAATGGGAAGATGGAGAAGAAAGAAGAGTGGGGTGGTCTCTGATGGGTCGGCGAAGGGACAGTCTTACCCATGTGTTGTGTAGTCCCTTGGAGGATCCTAACCTTCCTTCAAAATGCTTTCACATCACACAAAAATCAAACTTCGTTATTGCCATTATACCCTCTCACGTGGCCATACTGTCGGTGCTATTTTTGGCACAAATAACACTTTGCTACTTGTTTGGTGTGTATTTACTTTACCACCACTCTTATGGGGTCTTAAAATAAAAATAAATAAATCTCTATGTGTACTGGTTTTTTATACTGGTACTGGTTATATCCTATCTATATTTTCTCCTACCTTATACTTTACTCTTTCACCAACTTCTGGATTCGTTTCTGTTTGCTGTCACTGTTCTTGATAGGTGAAAAACATGTTGCATTTAATTATTCATTTATTAGAGTTCGACTGATGAAGAGAGAAAGATGCTTCTGATATTCTGGTCTTAATAAGACTCTTAAGTAAAAACAAATATGCTATTTGGGTCAGATCTGGATCTGATGACCCCTCTGGTATCTGTTATTTTAGTTGCATCTAATAAATAAGGATAACCAATAGGTTGATTTAATAAATGTTTCACCAACTTAGCTAAGATTAATTAATTAATTCATTGAATGAGAACAGTGAAAGTGAATCCACTTTACTCCCTTCCATCCATTTTCACCATGATCTGCTCAACTGATTCTCCTTGGCTTTGTTCTGTTCATTTCAGTTGTTCGATTTTGCTGACAAATACAGAGGCAAATATGACAGCAGCATTACAGTTGCCCAGAAGTATTACAGATCAATCAGTGGCTACAATGTATGTTTATCAGTTTTGATTGTGTTCTCTTCTCTGATTAAATATGAACAAATTTAAAATTTTTCCCTTTTTAAAAAGTAACATGAACGTGAAATTATTGGCTTGAATCAGAATTAATATAAACAAGCAATGGTAAATAGGAGCAAACAAATGTAATTGTTGATTGAGTTTTGGTCATTGTGGTTTGCAGGATGAATTGCTCTGGGCTGCTGCTTGGTTGTATCAAGCATCTAACAATCAGTATTACTTGGATTACCTTGGAAGAAATGGTGATTCCATGGGTGGAACTGGTTGGACCATGACTGAATTTGGTTGGGATGTTAAGTATGCCGGGGTTCAGACATTGGTTGCCAAGGTACAAACACATTCTTAGCTTCTTTTTTGCTTATTTTATGCAAATTTGGCAGCTAGCTAAGGAGATTTCGTTGTTATTTCCTTGCAGTTCTTGATACAGGGCAAAGCTGGCCATCATGCACCAGTTTTTGAGAGATATCAGCAGAAGGCCGAATCTTTCATGTGTTCGTGCCTTGGAAAGGGTTCTCGCAATGTTCAGAAGACTCCTGGTGGCCTCATTTTCCGCCAGAGATGGAACAACATGCAGTTTGTCACAAGTGCCTCGTTTTTAGCCACTGTCTATTCTGACTACCTTGCTTCATCTGGTAGGAACTTGAGATGTAATTCAGGCAATGTTGCCCCTGCTGAACTTCTCTCCCTTGCAAAGTCTCAGGTAATTCAACCTCCTGCATTCCATTTTGTAGTTCGTGTACTAGAAAGTAAGTTTCAGTGGGAACTAAAACTTGACATGCTTAATCTTCAGGTGGACTACCTTCTTGGAAACAACCCAAGAGCAACTAGTTACATGGTGGGCTATGGAAACAACTTCCCACAAAGGGTTCATCACCGAGGTTCATCCATTGTTTCGATCAAGGTTAACCCTTCATTTGTCAGCTGCCGGGGAGGTTATGATACTTGGTTTAGCAGCAAAAGGAGTTGACCCCAACCTACTCACTGGTGCTCTTGTTGGTGGACCTGATGCGTATGATGACTTTGCTGATGAAAGAGATAACTACGAGCAGACAGAACCAGCAACCTATAACAACGCTCCTCTCATCGGTATTCTAGCACGTCTGCATGGAGGTCATGGTGGCTATAACCAGCTTCTTCCAGGTATTGCCACCATTAATCTTGCTGTATGCCTTTTTCTGTTAACACTCTTTGATAATGTTGTAATCGGCTTTGATATCTTCCTTGCAGTTGTTCCCGCTACTAAACCTGTTGTTATCAATCCTCGACCATCCCCCAATACCAAGACAACTCCATCTCCAGGTACTGTTTGTCTAGTCACTTCACTAATTCACTTGCACAATGTATATTGCTTAATTAACCGACAAGTACTAGAAACTAAAAGGGTATGTATATGTTGAGATCGACATCTGACGGGAATTTCTTTTTCAGCTTCATGGTCAGGCCCAATTTCTATTGAACAGAAAATGACCACCTCGGGTGTTGCCAATGGAAAAACTTATTACAGATACTCAACAGTGGTGACAAACAAATCTAACAAGAGTCTCAATTCTCTCAATCTTTCGATCTCCAAGCTTTATGGTCCAATCTGGGGTCTCACAAAGTCTGGTGATTCCTACACATTCCCATCATGGCTCAGCTCACTAGCTGCAGGCAAAAGCCTTGAATTGTTACATCCATTCTACTTCTCCAGCAGATGTCTCTGTGGCTAACTACGTGTTGGCCTGAGAGGTTTGAATTTGCTTTGAAGTGAAATGAGAACAGTTTACTGCTTTGTTGTGTAAGACTGTGTAGCCATACAAATGTGCAGTGAGGAGAGGGTGTTTACGTTTTTACTTTTATATTTTGGTGTCAAATCTTCTTCTTCTCTTGTGTATTTTGCATTTCAGTAGGTTAGATCAAAGTAGGTAGATTATATAAGATGGAAGGACCGGAGCAGAAAGGAGTGAAGAGACAAAAGGGCAGAGCTCATCCTCTTTCTCTCCGCTTTACAACTTATATACAGTGAGTGATACAAGACAGACAACGAAACAGGGTTGTTGAGAAGTTTAAAAAAAAAAATGAACTTCTCAATATTTGAGAGAAGAGTCATCACTTGTATTTTTCAACAGCTTTGGATGTCTTTTCTGTGTTTGATGTTGTAAGCTTTACAGCATTTTGTACTCTCTACAAACAAACAGTTTGTGCTATATATATATTATTATGTCCTTGTGCTATAAAATTATAACTAGCATATTTGGCTATTTCAAGCTTGTGATTTTTAATTGAATGGTCGAAAACTAACAAATACTGTTTTGTGTGATTCTAAATTTTAACTGTATATTATACTCAGCAATGTTAATGTCAGTGTCACGTTCAAAGCCCTCAAAATGAGCGGCCAAGAAGAATTTTTCGGAGTGAACAATAGTAGTCACTCACATCTTATCTAATATACTAAAAAGGAGACAAATCGAAACTTGAAATTACAAGAACAGTTGAAAACCAATTTGTAACATATAATGACTATAACAGAACTAGGGGATATAACAGAAAACATGTCCGAAGTTTCATTAACTAGGAAGCTTCTTCTGTTCTCGGAAGGTGCTCTGATCTGAAGCAAATGTGACAGACCATCTTTTATTGTAAGTCCATGTGAGCTTCAGAGACAAACACAGGAGATAACAGCTAAGCTGGTGTGTAATACGTAAAATGAAACAATCATAAAATTAGTAATGAAATGATTGAAATCTGAAAAATGTTTATTTAGTTCGTTAACGACACGAAAAGGGAAAACAAATGAATATTTACATATGACATGTACTTGCCAGTGAATTTAAAGGGAATAGTTAATTTGTCTTTTTGAATTAAGAATTTCGTCTATATTTATTATTAAAATTTTGAAAAAAGTGATCTCTACACTGGATTTTAATTGAAGGCAATAGTTAATTTTTTTTACTAATAATTTTAATTGGTTCTGCTGTCAGCAGGCTGCAGCTGAAAAGAAAACAAGGGCTTCATAAACCGACACTGGTTCAGCCCAAAATGCACGATGAGGCCCAACATAGTTTTTTTTCTTCTTCTGGGAACTGGGAAAAGAAGAGAAGAAGAACAACAACAAGGCTTCTTCTTCAACATCGTGATCTCGTTCTGGTCAAATCGAAATCAAAGTGAGACTGACGCAGTTTCTGTTCATCCCATTTCAATAAGTTTTTATCTGCCTCCAACTTCAGAAGACAGAGAAGAGAGAGCGAACGGAAGATGGAGAGGGAAAGCGAGTTGGTTGGACTCTGCATAGAGGCAGCATGTGAGAGCAAAGAAAGCGTTGAAAAATGGCGGATGCAGAGGCGCAGTCTCGATCGCTTACCTTCTCCTGTCGCCGATGCTCTCCTCCGCCGGCTCATCGCCCGTCGTCTCCTCTACCCTTCCCTCCTCGAGTACACTCACTCTCTCTATCCCTCATTTTCAACACAATCATGTTCCATTCTCGTTTCTAATTTTTTCCTTCCTTGTTAGGGTTTTCAAACACAGCGCCGAAGAGGTTGACGTGAGGGACAACGGCTCCGTGGACGCGGAGTGGATGGCGTATTTGGGAGCTTTTCGTCACTTGCGCTACTTGAATCTCGCGGATTGTCATCGAATCACCACTTCAGCACTTTGGCCAATTACAGGTGTCGTATCTATCGTCATTCTTCTCACTTATTCTTGCTGTCACTTTTTACGAGATGGCTCAGTCGTGGTGCTTAATTGGTTTTAGGAATGAATACTCTTCAGGAGTTGGATCTGTCTAGGTGCTTCAAGGTTAACGATGCCGGGATTAGCCATCTTCTCTCCGTTCCTAATCTGGAGAAGTTGCGCATTTCAGAAACTGGCGTCACTGCCAAAGGAGTCAAGCTTCTTGCCTCTCTTGAAAACTTGTCTCTTCTCGACTTAGGTGGCTTGCCCGTAGATGACGTGTCGTTAACTTCGTTACAGGTATTGTGTTTTCCTCTTTGATGCTAGTGTATGCGATAATCAGCGCTGTACCAGTCAGTGATTTTTTACTCCATCAATATATGTTGAAATTATTGTTTCTTTTCTTTGTAATTGTATAATATTTATGGAATTTGTTATGCTGCTAGATGAACATGATAATTAGGCGCACTTCAAGAGTTGGATTTTGTTGGATGCTATAACTGTGAATTCTGACGCTACTGTTAATGAATCCTTTTATAACTAGTGAGACATTGTTTACTTCATCCTTGATTGTTATTTCTAAGATTATTTTTGTTTACACCGTTGGTCTTGTTCTGCTTCTAAATCAGTTAGAAAATCTTGCCAAAATCGTTATTTATTGCTTTCTATTGGTGCTGATTAGATATGGTTTTGTATTTAATTGGGGTTCAGTTTAGCCCTATTTTTCAATGATCTGGATTTGGGCTGTAATGGATTGCTGTAAGCAGCACTTTGTTGGATGTCAGCTTTTTTCCGAATCACTTGCTTGAATTCGCCATTAGACATTATTGTTTGTTTCAGTCGGGGATTCACTGTATTAGCTTTTTGGAATGTGCATGTGTTTATGCGTGTAAACACTTCTGTGTGTTTGCTTGATTTTGTGTTCTGTTCTCAAGTTGTAAAAATGGTCTTATAAATATGTGTATTTATTTTTTTATGACCTGTACCGTTTCGCTTCACCCTCCTCCTAGGTACTGAAAAGGCTACAATATATTGATCTTTGGGGTAGTAAAATATCAAATAAAGGTGCAGCTGTTCTCAATGTGTTCCCAAAGTTGACCTATCTAAATCTTGCTTGGACCAGTGTCACAAAATTGCCCACACTATCATCTCTTGAATGCCTGGACATGAGTAACTGTACTATTGATTCTATACTTGAAGATGATAAATCTCCTTTGGCAAAGCTTATTTTCTCTGGGGCTACATTCCTGAATGAATCTGGAGTCTTCTCGTATGCAAATACAAATCTGGTATCCTTTTTGGATGTAGCCCATACCAGCCTGCATGAATTCTTCTTCTTAAGTAAAATGAAAGTAATAGAACACCTCAATCTCAGCTCATGCATGATGGGGGACGATTCAGTTGAAATGGTTGCATGTGTTGGTGCTAACTTGAAAAGTCTGAATCTAAGTGGTACCAGGGTTAGTTCTGCTGGATTAGGGATTTTAGCTGGACATGTTCCCAACCTTGAAATTCTATCATTATCTCAGACACCATTGGATGACACTGGCATCTCATTTATCAGTATGATGCCTTCATTAAAGGATGTTGACCTGAGCAATACATACATTAAAGGTATTTGATCAGTTGACAGTTCTTTCTAATATGATTTATAAATTTGTGTGCATTACCTGTGGTGGCAGATATAGGCTGTACTCTGGTTAAATCCTACCATTTTTGCAGCCTATTGATTGATCCCTTTTACTTTACCATTGGGCTGCTGCTTACCAGGAAACTTCTTTGCAAGACTAACATGTGTTTGTTAATTTATTTGTCGTCCATTTCCTTTACTGCTTTTTTGGGAAGAACAAAAAGATGCGTGCTTGCAGTATGTTTTGGATTAACATTTATTTAATTTCTGATCTTGATGTTGATTTGAAACCCTACTAAGAGTAAATCGTATATTATGCCAGATATTCAACATCTCCTGTTTGGTTTCATCAACATGTGTAGGACAACTCAGTTTCCAATATTGTCTTTTAATCAAGTTACGTTGTAGAATAATGTGTCTTTTGTTGGTGCACTGCACACTAGATTTAAATAGCTATTTTCTATCCTAGAAATCAAGGTTGATATTATTAAGGAGCCACTTGTTTGAGAAAATGTTATTGCTTTCAATTTTAATCACAAAAAGGCCATTTGTTTGAGAAAATGTCCTAGAAATTGTATCTTTAATTACTTTGTTTTCATTTTACTTACTATTTTCGAAAGTTTGTAAAACAGTGTAAACAAAAAACCAATAAAGGTTTTTCACAAATTTCTATACAAACCTTTGAAAGCAGGTTACAAGTTGAAAATACGGTTCCCTTTTCATAATTAAAAGTGAAAACAGAAAAACATTTTTTAAACCAAATGCTCCCTAATAAGCTACAACTATAGCAACGAGATGCATTTCATATAAAGAAAATTAGGTGGTTGACTTATGCTGAATGATTTTACACTGTATTCTAATTCAAATGTCATACTGAGATTGGAATATTTATTGGACTGTAAATGTGGGGTTTGGTAGTGGTAAAGCTTTGGGAAAAAATGGCTATTGGGATAAAACCTCCCTTGTAATTTGCTAGTATTACTCCCCGGGACCCTTTGGAGGATGAGGGCCATCGAGTCCAGCCCAAGACTGTATGTCCCGGCACGATTCACTTATTCCATGAGGCAAGTCAATGGTGCAATTGGAATAGCTTCTCATTATTTCCTAGGTTTTAGTTGTGGAGGGAAAATGTCGGGAGATGTGTGGTTATTTGTTACATTCACAGCATGTGAAGGTGATGAGGCTCGCATGCTATTTTGGCCTTTCCTTAGGCCTGAGAGGGTGTATCTTCAAGGAAGAGGAGCGCCACTCTGTTATCGTTTTTAACCAGTTTTATTACTTACACATAATTTCAACATGAAAAATCCCTCTGTTATATTGTAGTAAGTGAACCTAAACGGTATTTTTAAGGCCTTTTTGGTTTGAGGAAACCTTTTCTATTTTCACATATAACTACCGAAATGTGACTTTGTTCTCAGTATATTTCTGGTTTTTAGAGATTGTTAAAATAAACAGTGAAAAATAAACTATCATTTTCATAACTTACTAACAAATATTTTTAAAGAGGAAATAGAATGAAACTGATTTGACATTTTTGTAATTATTTGTGCAAAGACAACTGAAAAAAAAAAATTCTTAAACTGAAATTGCCCTTAATTTCTCGGATAGAAAATGTCCTCAATTTGCTATCTTTGCTAGTGCCTTGAATAATTGTTCACTTTGTTTCCAAGGCTTCACTTTTACTTCTTATTAAGCATTCAGTTAATGTTATAGTGGATCATTTCGATATAGCAAATTGTGATTTTCTTGTCTATTTGTCTATTTTACTGTTCGAACTGTCTACATTTTGTTTGTATTATTGCATCCGTCATATCGTTTATGTCTCCATTTTCTGCTTCTGGTTTAAAAATTGTCTTTTGGGCTTACCTTCTGTATTTACGACTTAGGTTTTCTACACCCAGGAAAGATTGATGTGGACTCCCCACTCTCACTGATGGCTTTGCAAAATCTTAAATTAGAAAGGTTGAATTTGGAGCATACGCAAGTTAGGGATGAAGCTTTATACCCCTTGTCAAGCTTCTTAGAGCTGAAATATTTATCACTTAAAAGTGCTTCTCTTGCAGACGTCTCGCTTTACTATTTATCGTCAATTCCAAAATTGACAAATCTTAGTGTTTGTGATGCGGTATTGACAAATTATGGGATTGATATATTTAAGGCTCCTGAAACTCTGAAACTGCTGGACCTCAGAGGTTGTTGGCTCTTAACAGAAGACATTATCTTGTCATTCTGTAGACGTCATCCACAAGTTGAAGTCATACACGAACTTGGTACAGTATATCCTTTTAATAAAAATGGTCCTCATCATTCCTCTCCATCTCGATCAACTTCTAGGACTTTGCAAATGGCTAAGAAGAAAGATCAAGCTCCGGTATTACCGTATCTTGCAGGTAATTTCTATTTACCTTCTAATCTTTAAGTTTCTAGCTTTATATGACTATCTAATTGATTTGTTTTCATTTATTTTTTACATAGATCAAAGATTAAAGTATAGCAGGGATGAGTTACTTGCATTGCAGTTTGCGTCCTTGCCTCCTGCATCTAGTAGTGAGAGTAGCAATTCAACATTTGAGAAACAATTGGACTGAATGGTGAAATCTCCCTTTATATAATTGTTTGCACTGATGGCATTGGTAATTTGTGTTCATTTTTCTTGTTTTTCTTAGTCGTGGCCAATTTTATGATATTACTTGCTTTGCTTTTATTTTAAATATGATATCCTCCTCCTATTTATGCTGGGTATGCGCATTTTTGTTGCTTTGCAGGCGAGGGTATGTGATATGAACAGAGAGGATTAATAGCCCGAGTCCGATGTAGTTCATTTGTTCATAATTCGAATGCACATGGTCAAAGAAGAATCATGTTTCTGTTAGAGAAATCGAATGTGATGGTGAGCCTTGGTTCCAACTTACCATGGCTTACATGTAGATATGCAACGTGGATTAAGAAAGGTTTAGTGATATTATTGTGTGTTTTGGCTGACACGTGCCTTTTGTATTGGGGTGCAGAGTGGACACATGGGATGTTGTGAAGGATTGCTTCTACTTAGTAGTTTCTGCAGGCTCTCCCAAGTATAGAAGATTGCAGTCATCAGGATGGTGTTGCTTCAGACAAATCGTTAACTACGCACTAGATCACTCCATGACACTTTGTGATGGTTTGTACTAATTATGATAAATCTGAAGGGTGGACAATTTCAAGGTGTCTTGCTCGTGTTTTTATTTGATTTCTCATATAAATATGTAGAAGCAGCCTGTTCCCTCGGTGTCCATTGTTCCTATATAGGGTACTCGGGTAGGAGAAGTACTACACTATGGGAGTTAGTTAGATGAGAAGGAACACTATATACAGAAATTGGCACTTAAGTTTGTGTTTTCATCGTACTCAGCCAATCACAATTCACAGTTATTCGTAAAATTCTATGCTTTTATTAAGCAATCAGATCGAGGACAGGCTGGAATGGCAGCTAATTGAGGAAGGGATCAAACGATGCCATTGTAAGTTATACTAACTATATCATTTTCAATAACTCAATCGCCTTTTTTATTGAATGTAATTTTTATTATTTTACTGTATAGTTAAATTACACATTATCATGATTGTGTTAAATTTTTGTAGAAATGAATAACAATAAGATGGTAATCAAAATTGTAAATATTTGTGTGCGTGTTAATTTTGACAGATGTAAATAGCGTCTTAAATAATTTTATATTGATATAATGTTTTAAGCATGATCCAGATAGGAACAATCTAATTGAGTTTTAAGAATAGAATATCTAGTTAAAAGTTATTATTCTATTGACAGAAAGGTAAAAGCAAGTCTTTTTTGCCAATCCTTCTGATGGAGTTATTTAGCAATGAATGTTTTTATATATAATTTTTATACACTGTGAACCCTAAAATTGGATGTTATTAGTATCAAGCACAAATGAACAATCTGCCCAGAAGAACAAGATAATATGCACAAATAGACACAAATCAACAAGATAAAGAAAGCCATAATACTTAGAGGAATTGATCAGTGGATAACAATGCACAAAAGTCAACGTAAACTGTAACGAGTAGTCTGTTGATTCCTGCAACTACGGAAAACGATTTCGAAAAGTTTTTTTATAGGGTGGAGGGAGAAATTTGATGGGTGTAAGAAGCAATGGGCTAACAAGTATTGACCTAAAGGTTAACAAGTTTGGGCTAATTGATTGGGATGATGTAGGCCCAACAATCTCTAAATAAATATTGTAAACAACTACAAATCAAATAAAATATTACAAGAGAAATTCATAGTCTACTATTAGGCTAATATGAAACCATTGTCAACTACACAAAATGTCTGTTTGTTCCTTGACGCCAAAAGATTATGAACACAATTTAACTCAATTGTATACTTATATATTATTGGTCGACTTAATAATACGTTAAATAATTTTTTTACGTTTTAAATAAAACATATATAGTTTATTTTTTTAGTGTAAATAATGTAGAAATTTATAACATTAAATACTATGTCCAATCAACTCAAGTAGATTCCACTCCTTCAACTATATATGTACTTTAACAATTTATTTAAACAAAATAAGATACTTCTTCCACACCAAATCTTCTAGGTATTAAAATATGGTCATGCTATGTAGTGATAAGTACATTGTTTAAAAATAATTAATAAATATTAAGTTTTACAAAAGTTTTTAATTAAATATGATACTAAATAAATTCTGATTTAAGTAATTATTAATGTAGTTTTATTTTATTTAAAGAAAAAAAATGTTCATAAATGTTATACAGCTGTAATTGATAATTTATTTTTGATACATATAAAAACTGTTAAAAAATAATTAAATAATCAAATAATTTTAATGACGATTTCCTTTCGTTTGTCTTTCATTTTTAAATGTTGCTAAAGACTTAAATTAATGGAGAAAACTTTCATATTTTAAGCTTCTCATTTTAAATTTTTACCAAAAAACAATTTCAAATTACAGAAAGATATTTTTGTTTGCTTCGTGGTATAAAAACATTTTATATCTATTGGTGAAAGAAAAAATTAATAAATCTAAAATATTAACTTTTTAATTATGATTCAATCATTAAATTTAGCTTTTGTATTGAGTATAATAAATGTAACTAATGATTTATTAATTTATTCATATTCATTACATGTAATTTTTTGTAATTTGTGAATACGTCTTATTTTAAATTTATGTAAGATGTCACTTGAATATAATTTAAATTGCAATAATAAAATATGACAAAACTCATTCATATCATTGATGCTAAAAATCATACTATTAAATTAGATATAACGTTCGCACTAGAAGTTGATCAGCGTGACGTAAGTTCATAATGGATAATTAAAATCAACGGGTTTTTTTTAATATATAATTAAAACATGCTCAATATTGTATGATAGGGCTCAATATGGAAAATTTTCATATTGAAAAAATCTAGTTGATATTGTATTAGAGAAGCAATAACTATTATTCATGGTTAACATGAATAATTTAACAATTTCAAATATAAATTTATCTATCTAAACATATTTTTCCAGCTTATGATTTGAGCAGCTATCCATGCATATTATTTGCAATCTATATGAATAATAATCTACACAACCACGAAAAGGGAAAGCAAGCNGGTGGTTGACTTATGCTGAATGATTTTACACTGTATTCTAATTCAAATGTCATACTGAGATTGGAATATTTATTGGACTGTAAATGTGGGGTTTGGTAGTGGTAAAGCTTTGGGAAAAAATGGCTATTGGGATAAAACCTCCCTTGTAATTTGCTAGTATTACTCCCCGGGACCCTTTGGAGGATGAGGGCCATCGAGTCCAGCCCAAGACTGTATGTCCCGGCACGATTCACTTATTCCATGAGGCAAGTCAATGGTGCAATTGGAATAGCTTCTCATTATTTCCTAGGTTTTAGTTGTGGAGGGAAAATGTCGGGAGATGTGTGGTTATTTGTTACATTCACAGCATGTGAAGGTGATGAGGCTCGCATGCTATTTTGGCCTTTCCTTAGGCCTGAGAGGGTGTATCTTCAAGGAAGAGGAGCGCCACTCTGTTATCGTTTTTAACCAGTTTTATTACTTACACATAATTTCAACATGAAAAATCCCTCTGTTATATTGTAGTAAGTGAACCTAAACGGTATTTTTAAGGCCTTTTTGGTTTGAGGAAACCTTTTCTATTTTCACATATAACTACCGAAATGTGACTTTGTTCTCAGTATATTTCTGGTTTTTAGAGATTGTTAAAATAAACAGTGAAAAATAAACTATCATTTTCATAACTTACTAACAAATATTTTTAAAGAGGAAATAGAATGAAACTGATTTGACATTTTTGTAATTATTTGTGCAAAGACAACTGAAAAAAAAAAATTCTTAAACTGAAATTGCCCTTAATTTCTCGGATAGAAAATGTCCTCAATTTGCTATCTTTGCTAGTGCCTTGAATAATTGTTCACTTTGTTTCCAAGGCTTCACTTTTACTTCTTATTAAGCATTCAGTTAATGTTATAGTGGATCATTTCGATATAGCAAATTGTGATTTTCTTGTCTATTTGTCTATTTTACTGTTCGAACTGTCTACATTTTGTTTGTATTATTGCATCCGTCATATCGTTTATGTCTCCATTTTCTGCTTCTGGTTTAAAAATTGTCTTTTGGGCTTACCTTCTGTATTTACGACTTAGGTTTTCTACACCCAGGAAAGATTGATGTGGACTCCCCACTCTCACTGATGGCTTTGCAAAATCTTAAATTAGAAAGGTTGAATTTGGAGCATACGCAAGTTAGGGATGAAGCTTTATACCCCTTGTCAAGCTTCTTAGAGCTGAAATATTTATCACTTAAAAGTGCTTCTCTTGCAGACGTCTCGCTTTACTATTTATCGTCAATTCCAAAATTGACAAATCTTAGTGTTTGTGATGCGGTATTGACAAATTATGGGATTGATATATTTAAGGCTCCTGAAACTCTGAAACTGCTGGACCTCAGAGGTTGTTGGCTCTTAACAGAAGACATTATCTTGTCATTCTGTAGACGTCATCCACAAGTTGAAGTCATACATGAACTTGGTACAGTATATCCTTTTAATAAAAATGGTCCTCATCATTCCTCTCCATCTCGATCAACTTCTAGGACTTTGCAAATGGCTAAGAAGAAAGATCAAGCTCCGGTATTACCGTATCTTGCAGGTAATTTCTATTTACCTTCTAATCTTTAAGTTTCTAGCTTTATATGACTATCTAATTGATTTGTTTTCATTTATTTTTTACATAGATCAAAGATTAAAGTATAGCAGGGATGAGTTACTTGCATTGCAGTTTGCGTCCTTGCCTCCTGCATCTAGTAGTGAGAGTAGCAATTCAACATTTGAGAAACAATTGGACTGAATGGTGAAATCTCCCTTTATATAATTGTTTGCACTGATGGCATTGGTAATTTGTGTTCATTTTAATAATTTTAATAAAAAAAGACAAATTTAAAAAAATAAATAAATTAAATTTAATTTAAAATATGATATCCTCCTCCTATTTATGCTGGGTATGCGCATTTATGTTGCTTTGCAGGCGAGGGTATGTGATATGAACAGAGAGGATTAATAGCCCGAGTCCGATGTAGTTCATTTGTTCATAATTCGAATGCACATGGTCAAAGAAGAATCATGTTTCTGTTAGAGAAATCGAATGTGATGGTGAGCCTTGGTTCCAACTTACCATGGCTTACATGTAGATATGCAACGTGGATTAAGAAAGGTTTAGTGATATTATTGTGTGTTTTGGCTGACACGTGCCTTTTGTATTGGGGTGCAGAGTGGACACATGGGATGTTGTGAAGGATTGCTTCTACTTAGTAGTTTCTGCAGGCTCTCCCAAGTATAGAAGATTGCAGTCATCAGGATGGTGTTGCTTCAGACAAATCGTTAACTACGCACTAGATCACTCCATGACACTTTGTGATGGTTTGTACTAATTATGATAAATCTGAAGGGTGGACAATTTCAAGGTGTCTTGCTCGTGTTTTTATTTGATTTCTCATATAAATATGTAGAAGCAGCCTGTTCCCTCGGTGTCAATTGTTCCTATATAGGGTACTCGGGTAGGAGAAGTACTACACTATGGGAGTTAGTTAAATGAGAAGGAACACTATATACAGAAATTGGCACTTAAGTTTGTGTTTTCATCGTACTCAGCCAATCACAATTCACAGTTATTCGTAAAATTCTATGCTTTTATTAAGCAATCAGATCGAGGACAGGCTGGAATGGCAGCTAATTGAGGAAGGGATCAAACGATGCCATTGTAAGTTATACTAACTATATCATTTTCAATAACTCAATCGCCTTTTTTATTGAATGTAATTTTTATTATTTTACTGTATAGTTAAATTACACATTATCATGATTGTGTTAAATTTTTGTAGAAATGAATAACAATAAGATGGTAATCAAAATTGTAAATATTTGTGTGCGTGTTAATTTTGACAGATGTAAATAGCGTCTTAAATAATTTTATATTGATATAATGTTTTAAGCATGATCTAGATAGGAACAATCTAATTGAGTTTTAAGAATAGAATATCTAGTTAAAAGTTATTATTCTATTGACAGAAAGGTAAAAGCAAGTCTTTTTTGCCAATCCTTCTGATGGAGTTATTTAGCAATGAANATCTCAGACACCATTGGATGACACTGGCATCTCATTTATCAGTATGATGCCTTCATTAAAGGATGTTGACCTGAGCAATACATACATTAAAGGTATTTGATCAGTTGACAGTTCTTTCTAATATGATTTATAAATTTGTGTGCATTACCTGTGGTGGCAGATATAGGCTGTACTCTGGTTAAATCCTACCATTTTTGCAGCCTATTGATTGATCCCTTTTACTTTACCATTGGGCTGCTGCTTACCAGGAAACTTCTTTGCAAGACTAACATGTGTTTGTTAATTTATTTGTCGTCCATTTCCTTTACTGCTTTTTTGGGAAGAACAAAAAGATGCGTGCTTGCAGTATGTTTTGGATTAACATTTATTTAATTTCTGATCTTGATGTTGATTTGAAACCCTACTAAGAGTAAATCGTATATTATGCCAGATATTCAACATCTCCTGTTTGGTTTCATCAACATGTGTAGGACAACTCAGTTTCCAATATTGTCTTTTAATCAAGTTACGTTGTAGAATAATGTGTCTTTTGTTGGTGCACTGCACACTAGATTTAAATAGCTATTTTCTATCCTAGAAATCAAGGTTGATATTATTAAGGAGCCACTTGTTTGAGAAAATGTTATTGCTTTCAATTTTAATCACAAAAAGGCCATTTGTTTGAGAAAATGTCCTAGAAATTGTATCTTTAATTACTTTGTTTTCATTTTACTTACTATTTTCGAAAGTTTGTAAAACAGTGTAAACAAAAAACCAATAAAGGTTTTTCACAAATTTCTATACAAACCTTTGAAAGCAGGTTACAAGTTGAAAATACGGTTCCCTTTTCATAATTAAAAGTGAAAACAGAAAAACATTTTTTAAACCAAATGCTCCCTAATAAGCTACAACTATAGCAACGAGATGCATTTCATATAAAGAAAATTAGGTGGTTGACTTATGCTGAATGATTTTACACTGTATTCTAATTCAAATGTCATACTGAGATTGGAATATTTATTGGACTGTAAATGTGGGGTTTGGTAGTGGTAAAGCTTTGGGAAAAAATGGCTATTGGGATAAAACCTCCCTTGTAATTTGCTAGTATTACTCCCCGGGACCCTTTGGAGGATGAGGGCCATCGAGTCCAGCCCAAGACTGTATGTCCCGGCACGATTCACTTATTCCATGAGGCAAGTCAATGGTGCAATTGGAATAGCTTCTCATTATTTCCTAGGTTTTAGTTGTGGAGGGAAAATGTCGGGAGATGTGTGGTTATTTGTTACATTCACAGCATGTGAAGGTGATGAGGCTCGCATGCTATTTTGGCCTTTCCTTAGGCCTGAGAGGGTGTATCTTCAAGGAAGAGGAGCGCCACTCTGTTATCGTTTTTAACCAGTTTTATTACTTACACATAATTTCAACATGAAAAATCCCTCTGTTATATTGTAGTAAGTGAACCTAAACGGTATTTTTAAGGCCTTTTTGGTTTGAGGAAACCTTTTCTATTTTCACATATAACTACCGAAATGTGACTTTGTTCTCAGTATATTTCTGGTTTTTAGAGATTGTTAAAATAAACAGTGAAAAATAAACTATCATTTTCATAACTTACTAACAAATATTTTTAAAGAGGAAATAGAATGAAACTGATTTGACATTTTTGTAATTATTTGTGCAAAGACAACTGAAAAAAAAAAATTCTTAAACTGAAATTGCCCTTAATTTCTCGGATAGAAAATGTCCTCAATTTGCTATCTTTGCTAGTGCCTTGAATAATTGTTCACTTTGTTTCCAAGGCTTCACTTTTACTTCTTATTAAGCATTCAGTTAATGTTATAGTGGATCATTTCGATATAGCAAATTGTGATTTTCTTGTCTATTTGTCTATTTTACTGTTCGAACTGTCTACATTTTGTTTGTATTATTGCATCCGTCATATCGTTTATGTCTCCATTTTCTGCTTCTGGTTTAAAAATTGTCTTTTGGGCTTACCTTCTGTATTTACGACTTAGGTTTTCTACACCCAGGAAAGATTGATGTGGACTCCCCACTCTCACTGATGGCTTTGCAAAATCTTAAATTAGAAAGGTTGAATTTGGAGCATACGCAAGTTAGGGATGAAGCTTTATACCCCTTGTCAAGCTTCTTAGAGCTGAAATATTTATCACTTAAAAGTGCTTCTCTTGCAGACGTCTCGCTTTACTATTTATCGTCAATTCCAAAATTGACAAATCTTAGTGTTTGTGATGCGGTATTGACAAATTATGGGATTGATATATTTAAGGCTCCTGAAACTCTGAAACTGCTGGACCTCAGAGGTTGTTGGCTCTTAACAGAAGACATTATCTTGTCATTCTGTAGACGTCATCCACAAGTTGAAGTCATACACGAACTTGGTACAGTATATCCTTTTAATAAAAATGGTCCTCATCATTCCTCTCCATCTCGATCAACTTCTAGGACTTTGCAAATGGCTAAGAAGAAAGATCAAGCTCCGGTATTACCGTATCTTGCAGGTAATTTCTATTTACCTTCTAATCTTTAAGTTTCTAGCTTTATATGACTATCTAATTGATTTGTTTTCATTTATTTTTTACATAGATCAAAGATTAAAGTATAGCAGGGATGAGTTACTTGCATTGCAGTTTGCGTCCTTGCCTCCTGCATCTAGTAGTGAGAGTAGCAATTCAACATTTGAGAAACAATTGGACTGAATGGTGAAATCTCCCTTTATATAATTGTTTGCACTGATGGCATTGGTAATTTGTGTTCATTTTTCTTGTTTTTCTTAGTCGTGGCCAATTTTATGATATTACTTGCTTTGCTTTTATTTTAAATATGATATCCTCCTCCTATTTATGCTGGGTATGCGCATTTTTGTTGCTTTGCAGGCGAGGGTATGTGATATGAACAGAGAGGATTAATAGCCCGAGTCCGATGTAGTTCATTTGTTCATAATTCGAATGCACATGGTCAAAGAAGAATCATGTTTCTGTTAGAGAAATCGAATGTGATGGTGAGCCTTGGTTCCAACTTACCATGGCTTACATGTAGATATGCAACGTGGATTAAGAAAGGTTTAGTGATATTATTGTGTGTTTTGGCTGACACGTGCCTTTTGTATTGGGGTGCAGAGTGGACACATGGGATGTTGTGAAGGATTGCTTCTACTTAGTAGTTTCTGCAGGCTCTCCCAAGTATAGAAGATTGCAGTCATCAGGATGGTGTTGCTTCAGACAAATCGTTAACTACGCACTAGATCACTCCATGACACTTTGTGATGGTTTGTACTAATTATGATAAATCTGAAGGGTGGACAATTTCAAGGTGTCTTGCTCGTGTTTTTATTTGATTTCTCATATAAATATGTAGAAGCAGCCTGTTCCCTCGGTGTCCATTGTTCCTATATAGGGTACTCGGGTAGGAGAAGTACTACACTATGGGAGTTAGTTAGATGAGAAGGAACACTATATACAGAAATTGGCACTTAAGTTTGTGTTTTCATCGTACTCAGCCAATCACAATTCACAGTTATTCGTAAAATTCTATGCTTTTATTAAGCAATCAGATCGAGGACAGGCTGGAATGGCAGCTAATTGAGGAAGGGATCAAACGATGCCATTGTAAGTTATACTAACTATATCATTTTCAATAACTCAATCGCCTTTTTTATTGAATGTAATTTTTATTATTTTACTGTATAGTTAAATTACACATTATCATGATTGTGTTAAATTTTTGTAGAAATGAATAACAATAAGATGGTAATCAAAATTGTAAATATTTGTGTGCGTGTTAATTTTGACAGATGTAAATAGCGTCTTAAATAATTTTATATTGATATAATGTTTTAAGCATGATCCAGATAGGAACAATCTAATTGAGTTTTAAGAATAGAATATCTAGTTAAAAGTTATTATTCTATTGACAGAAAGGTAAAAGCAAGTCTTTTTTGCCAATCCTTCTGATGGAGTTATTTAGCAATGAATGTTTTTATATATAATTTTTATACACTGTGAACCCTAAAATTGGATGTTATTAGTATCAAGCACAAATGAACAATCTGCCCAGAAGAACAAGATAATATGCACAAATAGACACAAATCAACAAGATAAAGAAAGCCATAATACTTAGAGGAATTGATCAGTGGATAACAATGCACAAAAGTCAACGTAAACTGTAACGAGTAGTCTGTTGATTCCTGCAACTACGGAAAACGATTTCGAAAAGTTTTTTTATAGGGTGGAGGGAGAAATTTGATGGGTGTAAGAAGCAATGGGCTAACAAGTATTGACCTAAAGGTTAACAAGTTTGGGCTAATTGATTGGGATGATGTAGGCCCAACAATCTCTAAATAAATATTGTAAACAACTACAAATCAAATAAAATATTACAAGAGAAATTCATAGTCTACTATTAGGCTAATATGAAACCATTGTCAACTACACAAAATGTCTGTTTGTTCCTTGACGCCAAAAGATTATGAACACAATTTAACTCAATTGTATACTTATATATTATTGGTCGACTTAATAATACGTTAAATAATTTTTTTACGTTTTAAATAAAACGTATATAGTTTATTTTTTTAGTGTAAATAATGTAGAAATTTATAACATTAAATACTATGTCCAATCAACTCAAGTAGATTCCACTCCTTCAACTATATATGTACTTTAACAATTTATTTAAACAAAATAAGATACTTCTTCCACACCAAATCTTCTAGGTATTAAAATATGGTCATGCTATGTAGTGATAAGTACATTGTTTAAAAATAATTAATAAATATTAAGTTTTACAAAAGTTTTTAATTAAATATGATACTAAATAAATTCTGATTTAAGTAATTATTAATGTAGTTTTATTTTATTTAAAGAAAAAAAATGTTCATAAATGTTATACAGCTGTAATTGATAATTTATTTTTGATACATATAAAAACTGTTAAAAAATAATTAAATAATCAAATAATTTTAATGACGATTTCCTTTCGTTTGTCTTTCATTTTTAAATGTTGCTAAAGACTTAAATTAATGGAGAAAACTTTCATATTTTAAGCTTCTCATTTTAAATTTTTACCAAAAAACAATTTCAAATTACAGAAAGATATTTTTGTTTGCTTCGTGGTATAAAAACATTTTATATCTATTGGTGAAAGAAAAAATTAATAAATCTAAAATATTAACTTTTTAATTATGATTCAATCATTAAATTTAGCTTTTGTATTGAGTATAATAAATGTAACTAATGATTTATTAATTTATTCATATTCATTACATGTAATTTTTTGTAATTTGTGAATACGTCTTATTTTAAATTTATGTAAGATGTCACTTGAATATAATTTAAATTGCAATAATAAAATATGACAAAACTCATTCATATCATTGATGCTAAAAATCATACTATTAAATTAGATATAACGTTCGCACTAGAAGTTGATCAGCGTGACGTAAGTTCATAATGGATAATTAAAATCAACGGGTTTTTTTTAATATATAATTAAAACATGCTCAATATTGTATGATAGGGCTCAATATGGAAAATTTTCATATTGAAAAAATCTAGTTGATATTGTATTAGAGAAGCAATAACTATTATTCATGGTTAACATGAATAATTTAACAATTTCAAATATAAATTTATCTATCTAAACATATTTTTCCAGCTTATGATTTGAGCAGCTATCCATGCATATTATTTGCAATCTATATGAATAATAATCTACACAACCACGAAAAGGGAAAGCAAGAGCAATCACATGAATAAACAAAATTGTCTTCGTCTCGTTGGCTCCAAAAGCATATCTCAAGCATTGGATTTGTTGCTTTCGTTCAGTGTTTTATACATGTCGTCAATGGTATTCTGTGCACAAAAATATTGTAGTCAATACTAAAACAAAAACCTAAATGCATTAGTTCTGAGATTAAATTCCTGTATAACAAAGTAAGGAGAAAAGAAAACCATCATGCATTCCATTTGAAGTTATATGATACTGAATAAATCCATGAGAATTTGTACCTGATAGTATTTAAGCAGTTCTGGTCTTTTCTTCTTAAATGTCGGAGTCATAAGGCCACGTTCCATGTCAAATGGAACTGGGTCAAGATGAACTGCTTTAATAAACTCAAAACCTTTTAACTGACAAAAACAAATAATATCAGCTTCGTATAATGCTTCAACAAATGTATGTACCAATAAACACACAGAGAATAAAGTAGAATCAAAATTTATTCGTACTTAAAAATATATATTGTATAATATAAAGAATAGAGAAATGTTAATAGACCTTCTTTTCTTTTGCAAGCTTGACGAGCTCTCCAATTACGTAAGTTTTTGTTCTCGAATCTTCACAGACAGAATCAAAGTCTGCAGTTATATGATTTTCTTCTGCCCATTTTTCAATTGCTTGCTTGTTGGGGTTAACAATAGCAACTAAGTATGACTCAAAACTATTTCCATAAATCCATATCTGAAATAAAGCCGCAAAAAGAATTAACATCTATATGATTCTATATGCATGGAATGAAAAGAAACTTAAATTAAAACTTCTATTTATATATTTACACTAAACTAAACATTTTAATATCATTCACAAATCCATATGCTACAACAAAACAACATTTTTCAAGACTTTTTTGGGAAAATAGTTTAACAAAAAGATAAGTTTTCAGAGGACATACAGAATCAACGACAGAAGCTTGAACATAAATGTTCTCCAGATGTTCAACAGCAACATATTCTCCTTGTGAAAGCTTGAATATATTTTTTTTCCTATCAATAATTTTCATGGCTCCATTTGGTTGCCACTCCCCAATGTCACCTGTTTAGATAGATCATTCATGAATAAAATGTGGCCATGCAACTCATATAGTAGCAAAGATTGATTATCTGAAACAGGGACAAATGAACCTGTGTGGAACCAGCCATTGGTCATGACCTCTTTGGTTAGGTCTTCACGTTTGTAGTACCCTTTGAACACTGTACTTCCCCTCACACATATTTCTCCTCTTGGTGGGTCTCCAAGTGCATCGTATCCCATTTCAGGAATAGATTCTAGGCACACATCCACATATGGTACAGGAGGCCCCACTGTGCCAAGCATGTCCTTTTCGTTTGGTAATGACACAAAGGTTCCCGCACAGGTTTCAGTTAGACCTATTTTAATTTCAGCAGAAACGCATTAATAAGTCCATGCTCTCACAACACATGCAGTCATGCAAACAGAAGATTAAATGCATCAATACTTGACATACATATTTATACCACAATTCATATCAACACATGCACAAAATTGGAGTGGCAAGACATCAGAGTAACTTTCACAGCATTTATTCATAAATGTATGTCTACATTTGAATTAACAACATATGTTTTTTTCTTAAGTTATAAGTGTTGTGAATAAGTGAGTATCATAAAAGTCATGATAGTGCAAAATTGCCTTAGATCACATACTCTCAAGAGGTTTATGTATCAATACAATCCTTACACTTCCAAAATAGGTAACAAAAACGATGGGTCTTGTACTCATGAAGTTGTGAACCTTATTTAATAAGATGGTCTCTTTTACCTTGATTGAAGTTAACCTATACTATTGAATTTGATCCTCAATTGCAAGTTAGTTTATTCTTTTACATTATGTACACTATTCTTTACTATATGATTGGTGCATTTTGCAATTGATAATTCCACTTGGAGAAGTTTTGACTCCAGATTTGAGGACTGGATAATGTTTGCTCCATTTTTGACTCTAGATTTGAGGACTGGACAATGTTTGCTCCATTGATTATTACATTTTATTTTCCATTTGTTGATTAAAGAGGATCTTTGTTCCTCCAATTTCCATGTATGTTTTATCCTCTTCATCCAAATGAACTTTTTAATTTGTAAAAAATATTCAGAAAAATATAGTATGTCACGAACAAGATTAATTGAAATAAAATAAAAGCATACCATATCCTTGTAGGATATGAGCACAAGTCACCACCCGCAGATAACCTTCCACATGTTTGGATAGAGGTGCTGCTCCAGACAAAATAATACGTACCCTTCCCCCTAAACCTTGCTTTACCTGATCAAGTTACAAAAATATACTATATTAGTCAGCAATTTGGTTGCACTTGTTGTTCATAACAAAGGAGTGTGGAATTAAACTTAATATTGTAGCATCACCTTATTAAATACAATTTTGTCAAATAGTGGAGATGCTTCCTCGTGATTTCGCCCTTTACCTAAGCTATGCAACTTGCTACAAAAACAAAAAAGATTATTAACATAATCTTATAATTTATGGCAAGTGATCACAGTAATTTTTATATTCAACCTAATGAAAATCCAAATGAGCTTTTCTGTGTGAAATGATTTAGGATAGGAACAGTCGAACATCTCATGTTTTGTGCAAGATAGCAGTGACATAAAAAAAACATAGTTACTTACTATGAGTAGGCGAAATTGAACACTGTCTGTTTCATGAAGCCCCCTGTAGAAATCTTCTGATTCAAACCTGTTTATCAAATTGAGGATAGGAAATACTGTTCAAAAAGATTAATAACAGGAGAAAAAGGAATTAACGAAAAAGACTACTCCAATAACTAACAAATAATTTAGAAAGTATGTCATTCCTGAATTCTACAACACATGATTTTAGAAGGATCACTAAATTGTCAACAA